GGTAATTTTTCTCCATTACTGTTTGAAAGATTTTTCAGTATGATGGATACTTAGTTAGTTACGCTCAATATGTGTAAAGAATCGGATGTATGTCTTCATAAGTATCCCTTACGGTCGCCCGATTTTAACCAAAACTTCAATGTGCCGACAAATTTATAAAATTTATCAAATATAAAATTTCATGAAAATTCGTTTTGCTGTTTTCTAGTTATTAAATGCGATCAGACGGACATACAGACATGGCAAAGATAATCGGAGCATTTTTGGCAAAAGATTTGTCGCGAAAGTTTCAGAAGAAGTTAATTACCTTAAATGTATATTATACAACATGCAGTGCTCAGGAACTTGAAGAACGGGTCGTTCCCAGTATCCCAGTAACACGCATTCGGAGATAATAAATACGTATACAATTTTAGTCAAAAAACCAGAAACACGTGATAAGAGTACGGGGCGGAGATGGAGTTAAATGTCTAAGTAACTGAGACGTAGTCACGATGTAGATGAGTGGCCAGCCTCACGCTCTGGCCAGACTTCCTCCATGGGAAGCAGCTCACAGTACCCACTAGCCTCTGCTGGGAACCGAACCTGATTCGTCCAATCCGTAGCCAATCATTTTAATGATTTTACCGGCCCTTTGTATTACAAATGACTATAAAAATAAAACTGGTACAAAATATATAACTGACTAGTCATCTCAAATCCAACTTTACTCCAAAAAGAAGCAAAGGTTTAACACAACGAATTTTTACCACATTTCAATAAACTTCATGGGTACTACAATTTTGTAACCGAATGTACAAAGTACATAAAGTCGCAAGACAGTCCTCTAAAGTTGCAGACAAACGACAGAACAGGGGAGGAGTGCATTGCAAAATGAACACTGCGTAAGGAGAAACCCACCAGACACTCACTCGCGGATCACGGACAGACATTTCATTCATGTTTTTGCGTCTCTGACCATAGGACACATGTTCTGCATGGAGTTCCAGTGAGTTTCCAACCAAGGTATGTTTTATTTGCAAGATCATGGTCAGGAACCATCTCAGCTCCTTGTAAACATGTCAAGTGCGAGGCGCGATGGCGTGACTTAAGACGAAACATACACGTAAGCCTGGGTCACACTTGGTCTTCGATAACCAGATGAATTCTGAAACTGGTCTGCGTCATACGAATAAAGCTCACTAAACCACATATTACATTGGACTTTGTCTATTGTCTGAACTGGTCTAATCTTATTCAGAGAGTTCCGGGTTCTATCCAAACTGCTGTGCACATAATAAAAATGAACATGAACTTGCATGACAACCAGTTCATCTGAAGACAACTCTCTTACGAAATAAAAAGACAAATAAAATTGCCTATAAATAAACACTGAAGTCATCCACAAACTCGCTACGCGTACTGGTTTCTACATAAGAACACGATATTTTAGTAAATAATTAGCAAAACTCACAATCCGTTGAATGCGAGTTCTTTTTCCTGTGAGTTTGATATACAGCAAACACGGACACTAAAGAAATACAGGATAATTCCAAAAGCTATTCATTCTATGAAAGTCTTTTCTATTCGTGTCAACAGCAACAAGAAAAGATCATGATGTTTCTTAATACCAATTCACACGCACTGCATGTCCGTTCCAGTGACTGCAGCCTAGAGATGAATTATAGCAAAACTGCAGACAAGCAGACTAATATCTGCGTGATCATAAGGACATACTTTATCGAGGATATCTGGCAAGGCGCGAATTTGTGAGTTGGTTTCAAAGACATTTACAGCCATAAAGAACCGTGGTGTGGTGACAAAAGTTATGCCCCCAGTAAATATTAGGGTCGAAATCTGCAGTTTACTGCCGCGGACACGAGTGGGGCCCGGTAGAAGTTATTGTGGCACAAAAGTGAACTTCCGGTACCATAAAAGGTGGTACATTTCAAGAGTAGTGGAGAAACTCTCAGCTCCATACACTCAGTTATAATTCAATTTATCCCTTTTTAACCATCCGCATGTATGCTCTTATTTACTTTCTTACATTAAAATTTTCCCATGTATCTCCCAGTTTTTGGCATCATCAGAAACATATTGGAAAAATATGTGACAAAGTACACGTTGCTTATTAAACAGGCTATATGTGCAGCCTGTATCAGATGATTCAAATTGTTCTTTAGAAAAAATATACATCGCTATGGATTTCAACTTCACGATTATTTATCTTTGTTTGTGTAAAGAATGCTTAGTTTGAGGCTACGCTTGACGGCTTTCCTTAGACAAATAAGAGAAATCCATATTTGAACGGAAATTAAAGTTCTGAAAATACAAACCCTTGGTACATTTATATTTAATATCTCCATTCTGTACAACTGTGACACAGTACGAATAGGTCACACAAACAGATTTGATTTTCCGCTATCTTTATACCGTGACTTAGGGGAGAGGAAATAAACATAACCCCTACTTATTCTCAACCTCGGCACTAGAAAGGGTTGGGTGGTAAGCATCACGCCCTGACTACGCTTTACCACAGCGAAATGGACCCCGGTACCCATTGGGCAGAGGCTAGAGGAAAAATCCTCTCCCCCTGTCGGCGATTAGCAAAGACGAAGCAGAGTCTTGGCCTGACCAGTCAAAACAGAATCAACGCGCGCGGCTTACTCAGCGCCCTGATGATGGATGCAGTAAGGACCTCTGAAACAATGGTGAGCTTCTACCAGACAACACGGTGCTACAACCCAGAAGACAGCCATCTTCGAGGCACAATACTGCTTCTAAAGTACGTTTAAATAACATAACAATCACCTAAATAAGTACTATTTCCGTATTTTAAAACTTTGTTGTACTCCACACGAGTGGAAGAAGGAAAATGCTCCTTGCCGAAGGAGTACTGTAGGTGTGTCCCATCACATTTGCATACAAACATCATCAGTTGGTGACTTAGAAACCCCTCCCAAAACTGTGGCCTTCATCCCTACCAACCCAAAACCTTGAATTTTTAATTATAAACTTAAATGTGTGGGCTTCCTTTACGTACAAACAATTTGTTAATTCCAATTATTAGAAATCAATGCTACTACGCACTTGGGGCTTAAACGTGTTCCTTAACAAGTCTCTTAATAAAAGTTATAAAATGTTGTACCCATTAAGGTCAAAGGCACACTTGAATCCAGCCAGTGCTATTAGATTCATCATACGGTTGCCTTTACACCGCCGTCGACACGTCAGAATGATGGGTCAGGTCATAAAGCCTTTCTCATAAAAAGTGAAAACAATAATTCCCATACTCCTAGAAAATTGAAATTTCATATAATGATCAATTCCTCATTACACAATTAAAAGTGCCGGCAAGGCGAATGTTTCTTTGTACTTAAGCACCACGAAATGAAGGCACACGGAGTGTAGCTAAAGCACGAAGCATTCGTAATCTCGGAAAAGGATGGAAATAAGTTGTCCACTTGACGCTCGGCCCCATTAGACCGGGAGACGTCAGTTGTGGTCCGTACGTGATGACGAACTGTCGACACCAGAATGAACACGCGAGGCTTGTCACGTTCGAATTCGAAAATGCTGGCAGTGGCGTAGGTCCTCAGACGTGGTAATAACACGGCTGAGAGAGTTCTTCTTGTTTCCAGTTGGGTTAATTTTCTGATAATTTTCAGACCAACTCTTACGAAGAGCTGTTTCAAGAATTTCACATTACGGGAACAATAAATGGATGTACTCAACAGCACAAGCTTACAGCGTTGCTCCGCCCCCTCTCTCTCTCACTCGTGTCTTCACACGCGAGTGAGAGAGAGGCAGGGCTGCGTTGCTTAAACCCAATTTTACGTACTACAAGCACACGTTAACAGAATACTTGCGCGTTCTTTTCAATTCACAATTAAACCACCAAACTTCTACTAGTGACAGAAAACAGCAGACTGCGAAACTGGCCTTGTAAGAGGATCCAATAAATTACCGTAAAATATCATTCTCTCTTTATATTAGGAAGTCTTCATATGATGCTACGAAACGGGACATTTACTATCTGTAACCCAGTTCATGGTCAAGATAAATTATCAAACTTAGGCTCATTTGACTATATTCACATTTTGGGCATCACCACCTTGTCAAAGGCAATTTGCGTGCTCAAATGACCCATAGGGCTATGCCGGCCGGAGCTTCGGCTCATGGTAGGGTCACCCAAGCCGGACAGGTCTAAGGCGATGCGCCAGACTAAGAGTGATACCCTGGTCCTCCAGGTTGGAGGTTGGGCGTAAGGCTAACAACCTTTCACCGTAAAAAAAGCATTGTTACGAAAAAAAATAACTAAGCCTCGGACCAGGTTTGGCCCAGGACAGGGTCCGGTGGGGCTTTGGTTAATTCGGTGATGAACTTTCGGGTTCGGTAAGCCATCTAGTTAGTTACTTATAGACTAATAATGTCGCCGGATGTTTTCTGAGTTGTGACGCCTTGTGAACAACATCAAGTTATTGATGGATTTTAAAAAGTTGCAGAGATTGGTATAATATGTAACCGATTTGGTTTAATTACGATGCCTTCAGGTAGACTTATGTCAGACTCATTTTTTATGGTAAATACAAATTAATTTTGCTCAGTTTTGTACGATGGAGGGTGGAAGTCAGTTCTAATGTTGTTGAAACTCCTTTGTTTTGTTGCTGATGTTAGGTCCAGCCTTTGTTTTCTTACTTCTTACGTTCGTCTGTTCATCATGTGGTACTGTCAGAAACACAACGTAATCAGAGCCCTAAAAACATCTGCACAAAACTTTACGTCACCCTTACCAGTTGAATGATTCACGTGTCTACTGTGTTACACGGGTGACGTTTTGCTAGTAAGGTAGTATATAAGTAAAATATATGCTATGTACCTATTGTGATTACAATTTATTTTTCTAGGCATTTAAATACCTAGTAACATTGCAAAAGTTTCTAAATACATGCTATGACTCGTATTTCAGTCAATCCTATTCTTGTACTCAGACTTATACAGAGAAACATTTGTGAACTAACCTTTCTTGTTGATACTGTTGTGATCTGAAGCACCATTTGCAATGGGAGGCAAGGAAACACACACCAACACACAGAATACTACAAGTTTCTTCATAATTCTATTAGGATTACAAATTAATAACGTTTACAAAATTAACTTTAAATGTACACAACGAGGTCTGCAGATGAGTGCAACACACTACTTTTCAAACATCACTGATTTATATTTTTCGAACACCCCCGCAAACAACCGACACGTGGTACGCACACGCACCGCAAAACAAGCACAACACAACAAGCGGACTCACCTTTCGGCGCGCATCGTTGCAATGGTTGAAGTAAACCCCGCCACGAGCAGGATCCGCGACGAGGGCCAATATTAGAGCCACCTACGGGATAGCTTAATAACTACTAGCTACCCTCCGCAACCTCTGCCATCTGTTATTTCTAATAAAAACTACAAGAAGAAAAAAGCTACTGCTCTAATCGCTGAACGAAATATTGCTGAAAATCAATTACATTCATTGCAGTTACAAGTTCAACAAATATTCTATTACGATTTATGTATGAGGTAGGTGTACTTTGACTGAGAATTGCGCCGTTAAAGTGTATGACAATTATCTTCGTGCATAGCAAGCTTGTGAGAGGTAAAATGTACCTATTTCACCCTTCAGTCTCCTGAATCAAGGTATAGATAAACGAACCTCTAGTCCACATGTGGGAGTCTCCCTTACAGTATTGTAAATAATAATCTTTATCGTGAAATTTAAGACAAAATCAATACTGATTCTAAGGTGCAGTTTCAACTTTAGAGGAAAAACAACACCAAACCTTAAATGTAAGCGCTCGGACGGGGTGGTTGTGGTATTATTCCGGACATTGAACGATTAAAACCGATTAAAATCACCAAAGTTTCAGTGAGGACGGTTGGTATCTCGGCCGAGATTGATACTTGGGGCTTCTCAATCCGTACAAGTCATACAGACTCACTGCTTTGACCTTTAAACAAGGCTTGTCATAACGAAAATCTAATTATGGACCTAATGTCTTTTAGTTCTCAACTCGACGTAGGCTTACAAATATAAAAATACAGTAGCCGAAATGTTCATGTCCGTTCATTAGTTTGTAGAGCAAAAGAAAAAGTCATAAATCAAAACAGATCATAAAGATATTTCCGGGACAATCGAACAGTCTTCATTGATGAACGCTACCTCTGAACTGAAAAAAAGTCTTACGATACAAGTGGAAACATTTAGTTCTCATGGATCAGGAAAAGTGGGGATCACTCGACCAAACAAATTAAACAAATGTAGGTCAATAAGAATAAGACTTACCCAACTAAAGTGCGATTATTTTGACTTGACTCACACTAGAACTACCCTTAATACTTAATTTCGTATTATTCAATAAATCAAATTGTTTATGATTACGTCACCTAAGAATCGATTCACAAAGACTCTCTGGAGGTCCCTGAGAACTTTCACTTTTTACACAACAAAGCTGGAAGTAATAACGACTGCCTTACTGCCATTTCTTTTATCCGTGGCGTAACAGCTCCAGAGAGCCTAAGCCTACTATGTAAGACTTGAGGTTCTCACAGCGGTGAGTATGAAGATTTCCGTCTTCTGGGTTGTTGCGCTGTGTAGTCTGGTCGATGTTTACCAACGTTTCAGAGGTCATACTGCCTCCGTCATCAGGGCGATGAATAATCATGACGACGGAGGCAGTAAGACCTCTGAAACGTTGGTTAACATCGACCAGACTACACAGCGCAACAATCCAGAAGACGGAAATCTAAGCCTACTAGCTTCACTGCTGGTCTCACGTTGACATGCCTAAGCAGAGGTGAAAGACCATCCAACCAGATACAGGGTGACGTGTGGTCAGCACGACGAACCCCCAGCCATTACTAGTTTTCCTGACCTACTCATCGTAGCTCCCCAATTTCCTCACGATGCTGGGTTGGCACCAGTCGAAAGCTCATGAGAAGATTTCTTCTCCCCCGAGACTCGAACCAGCGCGCATTCCGTATCGCCGGTCCGAAGCATGATGCCTCAGACCCGAAGCATGATGTCTCAGACCGCGCGGCTACGGCGCGGGACTCTTACTGCCATTTAGTTTGGATAATTATTAATTTAACTGCGTATAGACATGTGCAAGAATTCCATAAAGTGGTACATCTACTCCTTTTATAAAATGAAATATTGCTGAACATAATACGACAAATTCGACTAACGGACATGATTTCGATATAGCTCGAAGTACTTCAACTGTTTCACAAGTACCCATAGCGCATTTAACGAAACAAAATTTTAACTTCAGCACCAGCAGTAAATATGGGATAACACGTGTATAAAAATGGGATATTAAACTTCGTATAAATTGGTATTTATCCGATATTTTCAGCATGTCATCATGATGTTTTATTTTATATGGTTCATATTGAATCGTATAAAATTCCAGACAGGAATTGCAAGTATACGTAAATAAGGTCAACATACAGATATTGGTTCAATATAACGAAACAAAGAAAACTTAACATATACAGTACAGTAGTAAAGGAAACAATATTAAAAAGTCATAATGGTAACAAATTGCAATTAAGCTTCCATTCTTTACATATTCATCTCACATTTTGCGGAGGAAATGCTGTGTGAACGACTTGGCGTTGGCTGAAACCCGGGAAGATTCTTGACACCCGAGTCACGTCTGGTAGAAATAGGTCCTTTGTCATGGTTGTTGCATAACAATAATAGACTAGGACACTTTTAAATTTCGAGAAAAATGGAAAAGAGACAGAGAACAAAGAAACATAAACTTAAGGGAAATAACGTTAATTCTACTCAAAAGATTGTTATCATTCGTGAAATATAAGAAATATGCGAGACGATGAAATAAAACTAATTAGGTTTATCTTGTGCTATATTTAAATAAATTTCGGAGTTAATGAATACAATCCACATTTGTCGGCGAGTAGGTTGATTCTGTATGAAATCACAAATTATTTATCAGGAATGGAAAGATAACAACAGCATTAAATGAGGAAATAAATAACAAGGCTTGTTATTTTTCGAAACTTTTTACTAAAGAAACATGTTTTATATTATCCATAACGAACACACACGGACAATATTTTTATCATAGCTCAAATATATTTTAGGAACGAGATGCAACTTTTTGTTCTAATTTCATGCGTTTCATTCTTTCATAATGACTTTCGTGTGCTTTATTCAGTGACAAAATTTTCCACTGTGTTGTACCACCATAATGTCGAAACCGTATTGCCATGCAGAATGCGTAGTGAAAGGTTCCGTAACTTTTAAACTGTGTGTGTTGTTGGCATCTTTAGAAGAATGGCTTTAATGGTTAGACCCTTTGGGCCAACCGATATTATATTAACTGTAGAAATCAAAGTACGAAAGTAGGATTATTTTACGCATAGTACTTATTCCTCTTAATGAAGCAGAGTCCGCAATGAGGTTATAATCGCTTTGGTGGATTTCGAGGGTGAACTGTGACCTGCTTCAAACCTGGCTATCTTGCTATTGCTGTTTTACGTAAATTTCTGCTATAATAAAGAATGAATTTTCACGGTAGGTACGAGTTTCGTGCAATTTCTTTTTAAACGTTTGAACATTACTAACAGGCGGGAATAGTAAGTTATTTATTAAACCATTACAAATCGAAAGAAATCGAACTTAATGAGTTTCCTTATGTTCGTTCCACGAAGCGTGTTTTTACTGTCCATAAACTCTGAAACATGAGTACACCTCAGACCATCTACATAAAAACATATTACATTAACACCTACTAATGGAAAAAGCCCGTTAGCATTCAGCGGGAAACAATTTATTTGAAATTTTCACCTTTTACAGCCTTTATTACTTTCCTTTATCCCCTTCGTACCTTTATTGCCTTCAGAAGTACTTCTAAAAGCTTCCTAATGATAGCTTGTGCAAAAAAAAACATCCTGCCATCTAACGTTATTACTGAAAAAATGAACATGCATAAAAACACAGTCAGTCATAAAGCATGTATTATTACGTACACAGGTTTTAAGTTTATGTTTTTACTGGGCATGCACGGTTAATTATATAGTTAAGCCTTCACGTTCTGCTACAAGATATAGTTAAAGTACATGGTCGTATGAGTGAAGTTCACAGTTCAGCCACAAAACTACAGAAATTATCAACACTGTTTAACCTGAATGGCTACTAATATGTGAAAACTCAGATATCTACTGTAACAAACTTTGTACTTTTAGAAGAAATTTATTAAGTTGTGAGCTAAGGTCCAGGATATAATTCTTATTCCCTAGGGCAATACCACATGCATTCTACTGGCACTCGTAAATTACATAAACACAGACTTCCAAAATTACGAGAGTAAAAACTCGATCATCGATTTACAAATCTCGACTCTCTTTATGACAGGCTAAAACACAGTTTTACATCTCGTTCCTGTCCTTACAGAATTTGAGCTACAGCCCTCTCCTCTACATATCTTGCGCAGGGGATCGAACTGGCCATGAGCGGGATGGAAAGGGTGGGAAAACGTCATACCGGTGCACTGCAGGGTTGAAAATAGTCAAACACTGTCGCCTTGGTACATCTGGTATGAATTTGTGTTTTAGTGATATGCATGTGAGTGATATGGGTAATAAGGGATGTAGTCAGCGTTCTATAACCACAGTTACAACGTGAACACAAACATTTCACGTCTTTCCAACAAAAATGTGTTTCTTTTAACTATATCCCTTAAAATATTCCTTTTTTACATCCCAGTGATAAAATCTATGTGGGCATAAAGCGCTAGTACAATAGTGTATAAAGCTATAGCCATACGTGACCTACTCTGACCATCAGATTTCTGTAATATTAACATTCAAGTATCAAAGGTAGCCATGTATGGATTTATTCGAGTGGATATGTGCATAAGCAGTAATCAAAATGTAAAACTTACTTGGATATTCAACATTTTCTTTCGTTTTACAGAAATCTGCATTAAGAATTTAAGAAATGGAAAGGTATAATTATTTTCTTTACGTTTCTTAGAAAAAGCAACAGTGCAATATTTTTAAACGTGGGAAAAGTTGGCTTAATTTTTTCTTTGCACACAGTAAAAAACAGTACGAAATCATCTACGCGAAATTCTCTTGTGTATTTCACACGCAAAACATTTCGTCAGAAATTATAGTTAGACCACAATACAACTTTGGCGCTAGATTTCGCACGATTCCAAGACCTCCGCTTATTAATCTGTATAGCTGTTGAAAACCAGTATTTATATGTCATAAACGGAGAATGGTATCGTGGAAATAATATTAGGCTATTTCTTTTCTTGTATCCATAGCACACTGCCTCGATCCGGACTTCGGAACAGCAACTAATACAGTGTTGCCACCTTGGTACAGCGTTACCGTGGATTCAGAATGAATATGGACAACATTTTAAGATTATTATTACGCAAATACTTAAAAATCAGATCCTACCCAAAAGAAATAACAATGATTCTCCATTAAAAAATCAGTCAATTAGTGGTGTTTAAAGGAAATAATTATTTTTTATTCTGGGAATCGTATTAAATCCATAAATACACTTTGATGGCTTAATGAAGAGTTACTGAACGTCAGATAATCATATATAATTACTGCTTTCCCTTAAATGTTTAAAGACAATTCCTTCAATCATGCGCTTTAGTTCCTAACGTGTATATTTTATGCTCATTTTGTATGCAATGTACCATTTTATCTGAAATGTGCTTTCAATATTTGAACAAATGAGACCTCTCTCTTTCTCTCTCTCTCTTAGCTACGCTGCTGGTTTTATTTCCATTAATAATTTTAATGAGACGATTATTACAGAACAGACCTGCCCTATCAGCCAAGTACATCATCACTTTTTTTAAGCGAACTTTCTACAGATAAAATTACATCGGAATCAAAATGCGATATTCGGATTTTCCATTTTAAAATTATTTATTTCTAAATTGCAAATTTTTGCATTTCCGCTCAAAGAAATTATACGACCTAACAAATTTTAAGTTAGTTCTTTCGTACAGAATACTCAGCCTTGGTTATGAGTCAAATACAAAATTTTCAGCTTCTGTACTCTAATTTCCTACTCACTTATTTTAAAATTACGGAAAATGGGCTAATGAAGCAATGACAGCAATATCCGAAGCCGATAAACGATCTTTACCATGGCTTTGAGTATTGACTGCCCCGTGACCTTAAAAAACGGTGGTCAGCAAGCGCTTGCTGAGGCTGACCCGCATTACAAGGGTGTCAGAGAAATTGCAGAAGAGACACGGCGTTGAGATCCAATTCACCCGGCTGCTGCTGTGTAACTGAGGAGCTGTTGAAATACGTCAAGAGTCAGATTCTTAAAGAGACCTAAACATTCGTGAAGACTGATGTATAATTTTGTAATTGTTCTTTCGTAATGAAAAATATTTCAGATAAACATAATTTTGGATATAGCATCGTTAAATTTCCTATAAGGTTTAGAATAATTTCAAACAGAAGATTCTTTCAAGTGTATTATGAATTCAAATATCTGGTTCAAATTGTGGATCCTTATATATGAAATAGTTTTTAATAATTAAACTATAACCCTGCTTTAGAAATATTAGGTCTCGTAGCTCATATTGGTCAGGCTTCGTAAAGACGATATTTTTAAGTGCTTAATACAGAATGTTCCAGAAGTCATGAGGTAAACAGTCAGTGTGCTATAGATCTGTAGAAATGTTACGAACACACCACACTCTCACACAGAACCACAGACAGTCACAGCTAAACGAAACACTACCAAGAGTTTCTCTGTGTGTTACCATCATTAAAGTGTCAAAAATAAAGTCTCTATGACGTAATAATTTGAAGACAGGACAGGCTATGGAGAACATTCAACTCACTCACACTTTCTCCATCGGCAACTGCTATTTTGTTCCAATGTGACCATCAATTGTCGATAAAATACGCAAATAAATTTGACCAATACGTAATAATAAATTTATATCGGTATCTGGAATGGTCCGATCTAAATTGGTATCGATACAGTATTATACTTTCAGCTTCCTTATTTAAAACGCCTGTGAACAAACGCGTCAAGTAAGATTTTAAAATAAATTTAAATTCTAAAATTACTATTGTTTTACACAAGTTAGTATCATTACTAAGCAGGTTATTCTTTAGTGTTTGTATTTCAAGATTTTACTAACATTTTGCAAAATATATTAATAAATGCTGATGAAACAGTGATAATGTATGTGGTTGCTTAAATAATGTTGTTGGGTGAACTACTGGATTCAACTGTTACTTCTCAATTGATGACAAGACCGTCAAAAGCGTAGAGAATTACGTAAATGCTGCTGCGCAGTCTATAATACGAGGAACTGACTGTTTTCTCACTTTCCAAAATCTTGTTCCTAGGTTTAAAAAATAATGCATGAAGAAATACGAAATTAACAAGCCAAGAAGATTTCTATTATCATAAACTCAAGTTCGCTATTTTTCGGTATCTTGTTATAAAAACATTTGGAGGTGTTCCAGACTGATTACGTAACAGATTTCTTCGAGGGTTTCATGCTTTTAATCAAATCCTCCATGCGAATGATGACATAATCCCCTATCCAATATTCCCGATTTAAAATTTGTAACTACAAGTAACATTCGTATTCCAGAGCGTTAACTTCACTCTCGTAGAATAGAATCGATATGTTCGTACTGTGGACAACAAATTACAAAATTCCTAGTTTCGATGAAGCACGGAGTAACTCCGCTGCGACATCCGACGGCGAGTTTCCATTTGGGATTTTGTGTGTAACTTCAGCTAAAAAGTGCAAGACACGAACATGTACTTTATAAGGAAAATATTTATGGTTACTGAGGTAAAATTACGGCATGATATAATTTGTTTTACTTCAAAATTAATTTTGCTTCAAAGTTATCGCATCAATCAGACGTCAGGTCCAATTGCTGTAGATTTCTTCATTATTTAGAAATATATTAAGACAACATTTTAAAGTTATGGTATATTGTAAAATTTATTTTTCAGAATTTATAACTTCCTGAAACCATATAATATATACAACATATTTTAATGTTTTAATTCGCAAAATGTATTGGTCAAATTGTGTAACGTAGTTTTTACAAAAGCTGTCCTTATCAACAACGTCTCTCTTCACGTTATAAGAAGCAACAGACGTTGTCGAATGTCATACGAACTAACAGAAAGACAAGACACTGAAATCATACCTTAGAATAACATTGTCTTACAATTAGTAGCCACCCTATCTAAAAGAATCCTTTGAGTTACCAAGCGGTCAAATCAGTCCTTTCTTTCCACAAAGAACCATTCATAAAACTCTTTGCTATTCTTGAGGCTATTGTCTGAAACCATCCTCTGCTCTAGGTGGCAGGCAGTATATGGCTGATGACGATAATGTTTGCATTATTAATTAATAAATATAATAATTCTTTTATATATGCATCTTTGTTATGTTTAAACGAAAACAAATCTCTAAAATGTTATATTCCAAAAAGCTAACTCGTGATGATGATACAGTAGTATTAGTTGGTTAACAATATTAGTATACAAATATTTTCCTAGTTTCAAATTTCCTCGTTTAAACGCAGGATCATTTTCAAGTACCTTTTCATTGTTACAGAGTCTACTTTCAAAATTGGCAAACTCGAGCGGATCATCATATGTTCGGCAATGTGATATTTTATATATGAGAACTGTCCTCATGAAACGTAGGTTAAAGAACAGGGATTTATGTATTTCCCCCCCTTTATTTCAGAAACACAGATCGGTAAAGTCTGGTCTATAACTTTGCGTCTCACAGACTTTGGCATTTATTGTTTTTTGTCCAGCACAGATGAGAAGCGATATTATAGTTATTTTTGCTGCGCGCCGTTTCATGAATGCAAGGAGCGAGAAAGAAACTTTGATAAGTAACGCAAAACAGGTCAATCGCTGTAAGTCTGAACGTGGCCTTCAGCTTTCCGCAGACTGCGACATCGCGAGAGAACGTCATTTTCAACTTATACACACTCAAGGCCATGTGTTTTCTTACAGCTTTATAGCTTCTTTGACACTTCATCAACTTTCTACAGTTCATATCATATAGAACATATAATAAAATAACAAAAAGATGTATTTATTATTCGGAATTCTTACTCTTTGGTTCTTCCTGCTGCTCATATTTGGCATCTATTGTGATATTCAACAGGCACTTCTCAGCAAGTAGTTAAAACATATTCATTTTATTGTTTTCCTTCCACTCTAGAAGGCGGCGTCAATTCTTTATTTCTGCTCAAACTTTTCTTTTGTATGCCATGGTTTACTTTCTTATCTCTCTCCCCTCCGTCATTAACTTCCATGCTTACCTTCAAGACAAATTATTCTTGGATCACTGTCGTTTTGTTTTCAAACTTGATGGTAGGGTTCTTTATTACACAAAGGATACAACCATGTAATAATTTTTCTCCCTCGTAGCTTTATTTGCTGGCAGAAGAAATATCTAAGCAACTATCCGAGATTAGTTGCGGCGCCGGCCGGTAGAGGGTACTGCTACCGACTCGGACTTCACCCTGCAAGGCATTGGACCAGGTCAACCTCTGAAAAGAAGAATAAATTAATTCGCTTTACTCATCACCGAAACATCCTCAAATCATTTTATTTTCGTTTGATCATAAAACAGACTGGCACAGCAAAGTTTCTTGTGCTGATTAATAACTTGGAATGACATTCTAGATCTGGTACAGTTTTAAAACAAATATTTATCCTAATAACAGACACTTCTTGGAAAATAGGGTTCGACAGTCCCCAAATACTCATTCGAATAACAACATTGAATCTAAGCCACCATAAATAATCGTCTTTATCTTAGCCAAAAGATTTGTTTGCAGTGCCTCAATGTGCGGTACCTATAGAACAGAAGGCCTATACACTCTTGCCACCACTGCCACGTAAAATTTCCCTAACAGAATTCTGTCAACGCATTAGTACACAATACTTCATTAAATTTATACCTGATAAACAAAATATCTTCTCTCGTCCTATTACTTTAATATCATCCTCACACCTACATTTAGGTTTCCCAAGATCTATCTACTGTTGTGGTTTCCCGACTAATACTGTGTAAAATTTAAGAGAACATCTGCTATCTGTTTTGTTCAATATTTCACTTCAGTGCAATCGATCCATACTTCAGCTGTGAACGATTTTTAACTAAAATATAAATTCCTCCACATGCCGAATTGACGCCCTCTACATAACTATAATAAGTAACGAAGTAACCTACTCATCTTCCACTAAGTTACATAAATCTTGTTCTGGGTATATTATAACCCAACAATCAGTAAGGTCGTAACATGCCTGTTATTTAAGAATTCAGTTCCTACCTCAGAGAAAACACAATATTTTTCCAATTAAATACGACAATCTGTTAATACTATTTGAAGAATTATTTGGTTTGTATTCTGATAATCATAGGGACCATAAATTCAAAATACAGTTTTTAATGGCTGTTAAAACAGATGGTACATATAGTTACCACTGGGCTTTCTTATATCATGAATAGTCGCCGACTAAATTAAATATTTTAAGTGCATAATTAATACTAATAACAAAAATAAATCTGCTATATAAATTTGTTAAGCATTGCGTGAACCCGTTTACAACAGTAAATCAGCAGTAGCAGCTTCAATAAACGGGCACGAAGCTTCCATAAAACGTCCTCATTTGTTATCCGACGACGTGTCAGCGTGTAAGGAAGGGCCTGTGGCCTCCTGTCTTGCAAATCTGGGAACCCCTGATTTAAATCTTGGCAAAGGAAAACGAACAGCTTGAGGTTATTCGTAGTTACACGTGCCGCCAGTACTACTGACATCCCTACAGCTACTTTTGGCTTTTACCCCTCTCGACTTGCCATTTATGTTCATTCTCACATCTCATTTGCTGCTTCATGGCTTCTAAATTTGATAGAGGGTCGTTAAATGAACTGCAGAGCATTCATGCTACAAAACACTTAATGGGAATGTCGGCTAAAATTGTACGAAATCGCTCACATCCCATCTCACTGAATCACATCTTTCCTTGGTCACGCATTCTGTATCGCGTTCAAGTTTTGGCTTAGAAACCTTAGGTTTAAAATGCGTTTTGTTAATGGGATATCGATATCAATCGCTTCTGAAGCAGGTACTTAGCTTTCTGTTTTACCATCCTATATTACTATACGATTAGCGACAGTCACGCCATAAACTGCCGAATGCATTCTCTGATTTCAATGTTCAAGAGTGATGGTATCAAACTTCTAGATAATTAGTCCTAAACTTGCTGTTCACTTTCATTTTTAACATTCAACATTCCATTATTAATTCCCATAAAATTAAATGCAGTCCACTTTCCCTCAGCACAAACACGAATTCTTACCATAATTGAACAATCTGTCCAAAATACCTAGACGCTGTTAGTTTAAGGGCCGGCGAGATACTGACCATGATAATGTATTATCACAGCCACATTATAGTACAAGAAGTGAACCTCGAACATTGTTCCGAAACCTCTAACAATCCGAGGCGCACACACCTCAAAGTTTCGCCTCACGAGAAGGGGGTACAAAACTGCACATGGCTATCAACATGCATTTATATATAAATATTTGCCCTGTACGAATTCGGGCATGGGAAAACAAAACACAGCACATGTTGGATAAAACAACTGATGATAAACCAGTGTGTTTACATGTATTAAGAATTCTAAAAGCGAAAGACAATACTTTCACTACAACGAACGATTAGAATTTCTTATGAAAACTGCGACACTCGTGAAACCTTGTGGCGGCACTGATTGCGGGACACTTATCTAGATGTTCCTGTGCAGACTTTCTACATAAGTGGACGTGTATTCGATTCCGATTGAAGAAAGGAGAAATATTTGAACGAGGTGGAACGGAGCATGCATCTGACGCTCTAATTTCCATTTGTTCTTCTGACCCTCCTCTTCGCGGATCAGCATAATCTGTTTCGAAATGCACAAAGGTTTAATCCCTTTGAATACTTTCAGCAGATAAATAATATTCCGTAAGCGAAAATTGTCACAGCTGTGTAGGACGACACTCTATCGCAGGCAACGCTGTTTCAGTATACTCGAGTGTTCATACAGTCAAGTGCCAGCATCGTTAATTACCCTGTCATTAACACAGAGAAAAAGTTCTTCGAACGAAAGAAATCTGACGCTTGTACTACAAAAGATTAACACAGTTCGTCATTGTTCCTGGATTCATTCTTAAGGAAGTAATCAAGTAAACGCACGTCACAATGTGCTAGAAGGTCACGCAGAATGTAAAAGGCAGGCGAAACTACAATACAATTAGCTATATCGTTCCCCAGTAAATCTATTGTTATGCAACCATTGTTACTAGGGTGGTATTTCATCACCTACTGGACAGCTGCCCATAACCCAGACATTTTAATGTGCATATAGCACGTCGTACGAAAGAGACAGATTTACAGTCAATATCACTGTTACCAGGCATAAAACTGACACAAACTGAAATATAAAATAAGCAAACAAACAAACTATTAACACTATAAAAAAGACACTAGTGCTATAGTGTTAATAGTTTGTTTGTTAGCTTATTTTATATTCTAATACACTACACGGTATGCAAAGTTTTAAGACAAACTGAAATAGCCTTATTCAGGGTCCCAAAATACTTTGGAAATTTGTGTTTATATAAGTTATCCTTATATTTTAACGGAAAAGAAATATTTGAACATTTCTGTAAAAATTAGGTATTAAGTAAAACTCAGATCCCGCTTGGGTCCTTCCGCATGAAATTTAATGACAGATTTTATACATATATGCTACGAGTGAATTCAGTATATTCCTTATGTGATTAAAACAAATCCTGGTAGAAGCCAAATCAAGCCTTGTCTTTGACTTCAGAAAATTGAAACGTTCTAAATCAAATATAATGAAAGTAAAGAACGACATGGAAAATGCATTCTGCAAGCCAACACCAGTAGCATAATCAAACAAAATGACGCACAAGAGAAGCAGGAGGAGTTGACTACTGAAAACATGATAAAGAACACGAGTGTTCCGCAAAAGGTACAATATTTCATAGCAAATTTAGCAAACATAGGAATCTGGTCAATGAAGCTAGTTGATTAGCATTTACATTACACTGGCGCCTTGAAACAAATTACGAATTAACGACAAATCCTTGAAAATCTGAAAAAGTGGCTAGGCTATCTCAGCATCAGTTCAGAGAACACCATTTTACCAGTTAAAACTAAACAGTGCAAATTATATATATTTTTAATTTAATATAATTAAGAATTACATTGCTTCCACACCTTAAACTACTCAAAGTCCGTCAAAACCCAGGTTACACTCTGGGTTTTACAAGTCGTAAGAGTCTCTTGTATTAACATGTCGAGTAAAAACCATAAATACATAGAAAACGTTCCACCAGCAAAAACGTTTCATGCACCAGCATGACACATCGTCTATCAACAGAATATAAAGTGGATAATGCACTTACCTACACGAACCATTCGTCCTTTTGACCGGAGGAAATGTCGCTGTAATAAAACAAACATTTAACTACGTATTATAACCTTTATGGGCTTGTGATTTTATTTTCAGTTTGTACGGGATTTATTGTGCCTTTTGTTCAAAGCGTAATATAGACGCCAATTTTAATTAAACAAAATAACAGTGTGTAGCAACAACAAAGGGGTCACAAAAACTGTATATAAATTATATTTATACATATTCAGAGAAACTACAATATATGACAACAAAATGATGCCAGTATATGGACCTAACAGGCAGAAACCAAAGTAAATTTAAAGAAAATCGTGCATCGAGGTGCTCCATAATTTATACCCTCCACCATATATTATCACAGGTATCAAATAAATACTGACAAGATGGCTGAAGCATGTGCCACGCATGAGAAATTTCTACAAAACAGAAGAGATAACTTGGGATACTTAAAGAAATAGCGTGTGAGAAAATGGATTGGATTCATCTGCCTCAAGACAGAGGCCAGTGGCGGGCTCTCTCGTATACATTAATGGTCTTCGTGTTCCACACAAGAAGGCAATTTCTCGAAGTAACTGATCGACATTTTGATTCCGAAAAAGAACTTTTCTCCACAAAGTGTCATAAAATTGTTAATATATAAAGATTATAAAGAACTGAATTTATAGTTTTTCATAGGGCAGAAAATAAACCCATCTATCACGAAAATATGTAAATTCTTGTAAATTGACGTACAGTAGAGGTGAGGAATAAGACTTTGATTTACATCTCTTACCTCTGACAAGACGTAATTAGGTCTGACGAGTTTAAAATCTTAGTACTGGAACCGCGTGGTGTCAGATAATTGGAGAAAGGAATTATATATTCACAACGAAAGCTAATGAAACACAACTTCAATTACAAGTTGCCAACAGAACTCGGAACACGCAATCTGGATGAGGATTAATGCTCTTCATACTTCTGGGCGAACACAAAATATCAGATCGGCGAGAAAGTTTATCAGCTTCTAAATCTGACAGGAGGCTAAACCAGAAGGATAAAATTATGGTTCTGTAATGCTGCTCAAACACGAAATACGTAAAATAAACAGTGCACGAAATACGATGGCTTTGAATGACACTGAATTCTGCAAATTAAAAAAAAAAACAATACATGTGTTCAGATATCATCTGCTTGGGACACATTACTTCATAAATTTTAACCCAATAATGTCAACTCTGCACATATTCCACTGCAAGATCTATAGTTATACAATGAAAAATATATCTTCGTCAAGGACTTTAAGAAGCTTACGCAAAAGTCCGAAACGGTAAGAGATCTACAATTACCCATACAAAACAACATGTAAAACTACGCTTATATAGTTCAATGTTTACAGTAATGGTTAGGATAATAATAATAAATTCAATTATTTGTTTAATGTTCTGCATGAATAACCATATGGCCAATTCCAGATACAACACAGTGTAATTAAATAACTAAGTACAATAATAATACAATTATCATTGCACTTGGGTATTGTGTAAGCGAGACAGAAAGTTTATTAAACTTCCCAATGAAGACGTCGAGATAGACATCTTCTGATAAAGAGAAGACAGCAGTAAGCACTAGGCTGCTACTGATGACGTTACGGATGGAATCACATGCAGAATTCCATCCCACGTGACGCCAAAGCTGCACGAACGTTTCTTGCACAAATGACGGCTAACTGATACTATATAACTTGCATTATTCACGAGATAATTCGAATCTGATTAGTTATCATGCGTCCTCAGTAACAGTTACACCTGGAAATCGACACAAATTTCTATCTCGATAGGGGATAATTTTGATTCTAAAAGAACACTTTTCCTGAATATTTTATGTGTTAGTTTCAAACGTTATATTACAGAATGTCTTACGCTTTCATTTTCTGCTGTAAAATTTTTAATGCATTATTACCCAACGAATAACTTTCTGGAAAAAATTGTGAGAAAACTTTCAAAGGTCAATCAAGTGTTTCTGGCAGTCTTACGGAAATACACGAAACACTAAGAAAACCAACGTGTATGAATAAATAAACAAAAAAAGAGGCAACGAAAAAATATAATATGGAATTGTGTACCACAGGAAATCTTTATAACGTGAACGATCGGAAAAAGGGAGAAAACATCAAATAAACCGCATTAAGAAGACGAAAAATAAGGCACGTTTAACTTACGTCTATATACTTAACTCAATTAAATACATATTTTATGAATAAATTAGATTATTCTAAACTGACAAGTTAACTTAAATGCTGGACAGTAACAACACTGATATCCCTTATTACGCAATGATTTCATGATGGAATATGTCGGGATAAATAAAGGAAATTAACATATGCAACGAACTTTTCTCGGACAGTCAGAAATGTATGTAAGAATCGTATTTCTAACGTTTCAGAGATCTGCTGAGCCTTCACTAAAAGCTACTGCGTTGTCGCCGTGAATACTTCAAATCTCCCATAAAGTATGTTGCATTTGAACGGTTTATTGCAATAAATATTTATTAGACAACACAAGTGATAAGAAACATGAAATTAAATCGGTTGAAGACACGACATTTTTATGTGTTCAACGAAAAAAGTCCGAATCACACTGTAGAGAATATTTGTATTTTAGGAATGATAACTGACATTTGCTATAAATCGAACAGTATAGTTCATGAGGTCCGTAATCGTGAACATTCATTAATGAAGAACATTTCAATTACAAAGCTGTCATGTTCATTTGTAGCTTTACTAATCAAACACGAGTTGGATTGTACCTGTGCTCTTTTATCGAAATTGGCTGCTTCGTTCTCACATTTCCGGGAAAAATATGAATGAAAGTGATTCTGTTTATGAAAAAAACAAAAAACCCCATATCAATCAATTCCCATTTTCAGTCCTTCCTAAAAAGCATATTGATTTAATAGACCCGCTGCTGTAACGCATGAACCACATATACAGTTATGTATTAATCACAGAATGTAAAATTCTGAACGTATTAAGACTTTGATTAAAGTAGTACGCGAGTCAATAAACTTGTACCAGAATACAAGACTCAGCATCCCATCTTCATACCCGAAGCCGTAAAAACCTTAAATCTCATGTAAAATCTCATTTTTAAATCCAGTAACCCGTTAAAGATTCACACCAGGCACCCCCAAATATGATTACACGGAACTACACCAACATAACCGGCATGATATTATTGTTATGTAGCTGTTCTGTGCTGAAAATTTAATTCAACTGGCTTCCTTTAATCATCGATCTGTAACTGTAGAATGGAAAATTAAAATTAACGAATTGCCTGCTAACGCCATGAACGCACTCAACCTTCCTACCGCTAATATTCACAGACCGTGGCATCAGGCAGTAACATTCCGACACTTCGACACTCACATTAGCTACATTTTTGCCCTATAAACTCTATCATCTGTCATTCCAATCGGATTCCTATACAGTCAGAAACAATGACGCTGAAAAGCTTTCACTACACAGTTCGGTTTAACGAATATGCTTAAAGGCTTAAACTGCTTCGAAATCATTTCTATACAGAAACGAATTTATGTTCAAATTGGAAATAGAAACAATAGATTCATATGGATTACTTTTGTTCCCACGTAGCGTAATACCAGTAGAATGAATCAAGCAAACACTATTCTGTGAACAGCTAAATACATCATACCGATGAATAAGAGGTAATTGCTGGATCGAGGGCTGATCACTTGCTTTTTTAAGCCAATTCAGTTTCAGATCACTTTGTGACAAATTACATTCGAAGTACTCAGTTCTGTTACTACGTACATGTGTGTTTATCTCAAATGTTCTTTGTTTGAAATCGAAATTAGCGACATTTGTCCTCGCTGATTCCACAGCCTCTTACAGACCTGTGTCATTTTTCGTTTAAAATTAAATTTATGTTTCTTAATGCCTTCTTTGCAATTCTGTATATATCATCGTTTTATTGTTTTACTGTCAAACATTCACCAACGTTGAACAAATGTTGAAATACTTGTGTCTGCTGAGCTCAATTACGATCTACGTTTCGGGTACTTGAAGAAATTTTATAATTTGGAATGGAACTGCACGAAAATGAATCAATGCGACCAAAATTAAATTCGTGCAACAATACTAAGTGTGGACCATTAATGCCACAATTAAGACATCCGTTTAGTAGAGGCGAAATTTCCAGCTGGGCACACAAAGACTCCCCATTAGGTGACGTCAAACAGCAGAGATATTATTAGAATCTCTGGTACATGATGGCGTCTATCCTACGAAATTTCCCCTTAGTTATTGAAGATGGATTCGGGGACAGAACTGCTAAACAGACCTTAAGAATATCATAAAAATCTCTTCCAATTCCTTATTCAAGGGAACAGAAAATTACAATTCGTCACTTTGTTCATCTGTCAAACAATCCAGTGTCTGGGATGTTGAGCTGACAAGCCCGGTATAAAAAACAGACGTTTCGGAGGTGCTTCTCCTCATCATCACCACCATAAAGGCGATAAGTGTTTGTGGCTAATATTCAAACAATTACGGTAACAATGTTAATGATTACGAAAATGTTTAAAATGATGATGATGATAATGGTGATTGCGATGTAAACAACAATAATAATAATAACAACAATGGACTCAACTTCCGTGAATACTTGCCATCACAATACAATTAATCTCCACATTTCCTACCTAAAAACTTACTGATTAAATTACACAAAGCTATAATTTAACGTGTTGTTTCGTATGGGTGTGAAAATTCATCTCTCTCACTAGGAGTAAAAAGACTGAGAGTGTTTGAGGTCATGGTGCTGAGGGGAATATTTAGACCTCAGAGACAGGAAGTAAAAAGTCATTCAAAAAATAACACAAGGAGCTTCATAATTTGTACTCTTCACCAGAATCAATAAGGATGAGAAACGCAGAGCGCAGATGGAAACGTCGGAAAGAATAAGGCAATTTGGTTTAGTCACATGTCATTGTACGTCGAACTGGAGGGGATGGGGTGTGTGGACCGGACAGGCGGCTAGCTCACCTGTCGGAGCCTGAGCTCCTCACTTTGCCTGGCAGTAGAGGCGGACCCGGGCCGCGCTGTACCCGAGCCGAAGCCCCGCAGGGTGAAGCCAGTTTCCCGACGCAGGCAGCGGCTTCACCACGGTGCAGCTGGTCAGCGTCCCGGCGCCGTTGAACCCGTACATCTGTTGCACTGTAACCCGTCAGTCTCACGCACTTAACACAGCAGCCGAAACGGCCCAAACACAGTGCATTCCATTTCCCACATCATCTGTATCTCAATGTTGCTCCAGTCATATATCGGCCCCGAGAATTTCAATCACTTTTTCTTTGGCTTCACCCTTTAAAGCCGAACCTCGTCTAAACACGATTTAAAAATACAGAATCTACAGCAAAGAAACAAGAAATTTGTCTGTTGCAAAGATTAGTTGATTAATGATGTTTTAAGAAAATAATCCCTGTTTACACTGAATCATACGAAACCCATAAATACAAAAACCAGAGATACTGACTGTTACTCCAAGTAGTATATACAGTTACCATTGTTCTTTAAAGTATTAAATACTTATGCAAGTACCATATAATAAAATTAATTTTTATCAGTCAGCTAGCCCTGCAACTGTCGGTTATTCCAGTCTCCTTCTATTCTTTATTCCCTGTTTAAGCCAACCACAAACACCGTCTTTGTGGTTTCTCCACATATTACTTTGTTGGTGTTCAGTGCAAAAATCTTAATTGCTTTAATTTTCTATATTCAAGTATGCCAATTTTCAAACATACTCAAATCATGGACCTGACTGGAGCATGGTTTAGACCACTGGAACACGTGTCATCAAAGTGCTACGAAAAATCTGACTGGAAAGCGAAGACATACACAGGATTGCAGTCATCAATAAGGATGAGAAACGCAGAGCGCAGATGGAAACGTCGGAAAGAATAAGGCAATTTGGTTTAGTCACATGTCATTGTACGTCGAACTGGAGGGGATGGGGTGTGTGGACCGGACAGGCGGCTAGCTCACCTGTCGGAGCCTGAGCTCCTCACTTTGCCTGGCAGTAGAGGCGGACCCGGGCCGCGCTGTACCCGAGCCGAAGCCCCGCAGGGTGAAGCCAGTTTCCCGACGCAGGCAGCGGCTTCACCACGGTGCAGCTGGTCAGCGTCCCGGCGCCGTTGAACCCGTACATCTGTTGCACTGTAACCCGTCAGTCTCACGCACTTAACACAGCAGCCGAAACGGCCCAAACACAGTGCATTCCATTTCCCACATCATCTGTATCTCAATGTTGCTCCAGTCATATATCGGCCCCGAGAATTTCAATCACTTTTTCTTTGGCTTCACCCTTTAAAGCCGAACCTCGTCTAAACACGATTTAAAAATACAGAATCTACAGCAAAGAAACAAGAAATTTGTCTGTTGCAAAGATTAGTTGATTAATGATGTTTTAAGAAAATAATCCCTGTTTACACTGAATCATACGAAACCCATAAATACAAAAACCAGAGATACTGACTGTTACTCCAAGTAGTATATACAGTTACCATTGTTCTTTAAAGTATTAAATACTTATGCAAGTACCATATAATAAAATTAATTTTTATCAGTCAGCTAGCCCTGCAACTGTCGGTTATTCCAGTCTCCTTCTATTCTTTATTCCCTGTTTAAGCCAACCACAAACACCGTCTTTGTGGTTTCTCCACATATTACTTTGTTGGTGTTCAGTGCAAAAATCTTAATTGCTTTAATTTTCTATATTCAAGTATGCCAATTTTCAAACATACTCAAATCATGGACCTGACTGGAGCATGGTTTAGACCACTGGAACACGTGTCATCAAAGTGCTACGAAAAATCTGACTGGAAAGCGAAGACATACACAGGATTGCAGTCTGTCATTTCATGACATAAAATAACAACCTGTAACGCCAGAAAAGATAATTTATTTGTACTATCGGTTGAAATAATAACAATATGTGTATAGAGAGTAAAAACTCTCCTCAAAATCGCTTTGCTTGCATTAAGTTTCCGCAAATGGAATGCAAAAGTTTGCAGGAAGATTGATTCTGATCAGGGTGTGGCCAATCTGTGTGATACTTACATGGGAAGGAGGCATTTGGCGGCTGCTGTTGGGCTGACTGAAGGTGTGGAGGTCGGGCGTGATGACCGCCACGCCGGCAGAGGCACACTGCTAGCGCCACCGCGCCTGCGCACAGAATCAGGAAGCTGCTCACGATCACCACCACAAAGACGAGGGAGTTCATGCCGAACACTGTGCCCAGCTCGTTCGCTGCAACAAAGTGTACATGGAAGAACAGAATGCAATCACTAAACCAAGCAAGCCTTATCGACTCTCGTCTTACAGACGGATTCGTTCCTTGAACGTCATTTTATACAGCAATTCCTTGAACAAAAACTTCGCCGAGGTTCAAGAATTTGTTGAACAACAGGAATAATAGTTTAAAACGCAACCATGCAACAGTCGCGCCCCAGCCACTTTACACCCGGGTAGCTACTGAGTACAATTTTAAGGAGATTGTCCGGACGCGGAAAGAGAATCATCGCCCCTGCCGAGAATTGAAGCCCGCACTACCAGCACGTAGTCTAGAATCAAAACTGAATAGGAAAGAAACACGCTCGATGATTTGAATGAATGAGGGTTGTACTTACGTGTGCAGACTGCACTGCTCAGCTCGTCTGAGCCGTCCCCACAGTGATTCACCTCGTCACACACGAGGTCCGTGTGTATGCAGAACTCGCGGTCACACCTGAAGTCCTCGCAAGCATGCTCTGAAAGAGCAAGACATGCCAAGTTTAGTCAGCCTCCTCGAGTCTGGACGACAGACAATGGAACTGCGATGCCATTCAAAACCCAATTTAAACAAATGGAAAAATTCTCCTGCTGGTAAGAACATCACAAGTTCTGGGAATAACCCCAGACAATAGCCCATGTCCACAGCTCGATTTGAACCCACGTCTTCAAGCACAGCGGTGCCCAACAAAAACGTTAATTAAACGCTATACACCGCCGAGCCACCAGGATCAGCTCATAATCGAACACTGCCTCCAACTAATATAATGTACAGCGTGTTCCAAAAGTCACGCAACCCGAAGTTTAAAGGTAAATGTTTTTAAGACAGCCATATTCATAATCGCCGCTATAAGAACCTGAAATCTCATTTGACAAATATTCTGTTAATGTGATAAGGATATTTAAATTTGCCTTCCCCAATGGCAACACTGCACTCCTGTCACTTCCAAGAAGTCTGTGATTAGACGTAGTCTCCTCGTATTCGTTGCTCGTCAGTCAATTGTTTGTGTTAAGACGCATCAAGCCATTTTCAACAGTGCAGCACGTTTATTGTTAAACATTATGCTCGAGCGCAGTCGTGTGAAGCAGTTAATAGGCGTTATCGGGTGCACTTTCCTGGCGCTGTTCACACAAATAAGTCAACAACAACTAAACACAATACTGCAAAATTTCTTTGCATACACTGAAACGGATTGTGGGGACACTTCCAACATGTTATAATTATGTAATTATAATCGAAATATTAAATTACGATCTAATACTTATAATAAACACGATATTCAACTTAGGTTTGCGAGACTTTTAGGGCAAGCTGTAATCTATACGTGGACTTCGCTGTCTTCCTGTTTATACTTTACATTACAGAAGGATATACTTGTGAGTTGTGGTCCTCTGCGTTTTGATGCCGTATATGGTGTAGATGACTACTTCGGGAAAAAATCATCGCTTTCGTCTGAAATATTACATTTTCACCACCGTGAAAACCTCACATCTCACAATGGACTCACAGACAGGGTGTACAGTCAGTAGATCAAAATGTCCCTCTCCAATACAAAAATTCAATTCTTACTACAAAAATACGCAATTTGAAGTGAACCAATATACACCACTTTGTTCATATTTAGGTTCTGACGTACTCATCTGGTAATCTAAATACAGGCGTAGATTATGATCTTATGGATTGTGACTCCCTGCAATATTTTGCCTGCATGCATATATATCGTTGGAACAAAATGCCTCCTCATTCCTAGCTAAAAGGCTGAAGTGAGCCCTGAAGATTAAGGCAGGATGTTCCTCCAACATCTTTGACATACGACCAAAATATTCTGCGGTGCAACAACCCAGAAAATCACCATCTACATTCCTACTTGCCATTATTTATTGACACGGCGACAATTTATCTTTGCATAACAACCAGCTTAATTACTTTGAGTTAACTTGAAGACCTCGTGCACAAAACCTACATTCTGAATTTCTTACACAGGTTCGTGATCAACTGGGCTTAGAACACGAATAGCCTCATTATGAGGCAAAAAGAGCCCAATATATTTTGAAAATTTCGAAAATTTAAATCGTCGATCAGAACAGTCAAAAACACTTGAGGGAAGAGACCAGTTGGGAGATCTAGGCGTAGATGGGAGGATAATAAATATATGTGAAGGAGTGGAGTAAATTTATCTGGGCAGCGACCAGTGGCAGGGTCTTGTAATGATGACAATATATCTTCGGTCTCCATAAAAGACGTGTAATTACTTGACTAAAAAACAACTATTCGCTTCTGGAGTTAATTGTCAGAGAGTGAGCTACAAATTCCAAATTGTTATATTCCGAAAATATGACGCATGGCAAGTTAATTTTTCCCTAAAATACATAAAACAAATTTCTCTAGTTTTAAGAGGAAATAAGGGTAGCAACACGAGCTGCTTTATTAAGAAAATGTTTACATGGCTATAAACTGGCTAGTAATGGTAGGCTATTATAAACGATAACGTATTGTCATTAGAAACATAACAAGCAAACGTGTTTAATTAGAACAAGTTAAAACATGACAATTATTTTGAACGTTGTCTATCGTCATAAGTTTTTCCACACACAACGTTTCGGCAAATTGATCAGTTTCCGTCATCAGGGAGAAAGGTTCCTACTCAGTTGAGGCTCGTGGACAAAATTAATTTCGATCCTCTAATGACAAACAAATTCAGTTTCTAAAACGCTGTTTGGAAAATTCATGACGGTGGACAATATCCAAAATAATCGCTATGTATACAACGCACCATCGTCAAAAACATCTAGACGAAGCAAATTAAACGTCACCTTCAGCAGAAAGGGAACATAACCCGTTGCGTGCTTACGTACCCATATTGCCTTGCTAAGTATACAAAATGAAAGGGATAGCTAACATGTGCCTCGCTGCATAATAGCGTATTAAATTTCGTTGTGCAGAATTAGCTTGTAAGCGGCAGTGTTAAATAAACGAGCAGAACTTTAATACACATTAGCACCATTAAAGATTTCTGTTTCTCTTTAATAGCTTCCCTTCCCTTGTAATTATTCCCTAACTGAAAATTACAGGATTTAAAAACAGACAGAGCATTTATCAAGAAAAGATTAATAGTCTTTTTTGTATGCGTGTGTTTACAACAGATTCGCTCTCGTTTTCCTGCCTTCTAAATTTCTGGTTCTACTTTCCAAGCTTAAAAAAGCACGGAAAACAAACACACAACTCTCTTTTAATCGTCTTGTGCCCCCCCCCCCTTACTTCACAGATATACAGGTTCAGATACAAACTGCTTTGATTTTCCTTCGCACTTCCTTTCTAACCACCCCTCCTCTTCTATAACCGGAGACCCTATCCCAGATCGCACTCTTGGGGGCAACTGACCCCACGTTTCCGTTACATTCCCCCTAGTTGGGCCTGCAGGAAAACAGCTGGAGCAAAGGGCCTGCGGGCAGGTTCTGTTTTAGGGACGAGATGGATCGGGGATTCCCGTGAGACTGATGGGCGCGTCTGGATGGTCACGTTAGTGTAACAATACGCGTCTTTCCCTCCACAACGCGGATAACAAGACAAAAAACATTTTGTTCCAGATACGCTACACCAATCAAAACGTGAGTGACGTTTCTTTCCCTTGGCAGCCTGATTAATCATTGTTTCAGTCTCATCTCTATTAAACTGTGCTACTTGCATGCCTCAGCCGGTGTTGCATGTTTTGATAAGGTCTTCACAGCTCGCAGATCGCGATAAACGAGACAAACCAATTTACAAGGGCTCGCTGCTCAGAGGGGTTCACAAGCTCGGCCCAAATTTACATCAACTCATTCCTTAGAAATTCTGTACTGTACACAAGATGAATAAATCAGCAAGGTCAGGACTCATTTCTTCTTAAATTTTTCCACTTATTCTCCTCATTTTATGAGAATTAAAGGTTCCTGTATCGTAACTTTTGTTTTTCTGTGCCTTCGTATTCAGTATTTTCAACTTGAAGGTTTCTGTCAGCTGGGTTGTTGTGCTGTGTAGTCTGGTAAATGTTTACCGACGTTTCAGAGGTCATACTGCCTCCGTCACCAGGACAGAAATCTTCATACTCACCGCTGTGAAAACCTCAAATCATACATATTTTCAACTTTGTACGAACGTGGTGTTCACTATCCCAAAATCTGTACGTTTTAATTCTCACTCAAAACATTTAGATAGAAATCTCATTAAATTTTAGGGGTTGAGCGTCTCGTTAAATTTTAGGGGTTGAGCGCCACTAACGACACTTTAATACAGGCACTTTAGATAGTACCTCTAAAAACATAACATTTCATTGACAAATTTTTAAAAAATTGAATAACGAAGCCATCCACAAGGATCATGCACTTAAATTTCCGTGTATTGATGATAACTAATTATTTAATTTAGAAAGCCTATTGAGATAAATATATTCTAAATACCTATAAATACGTTATAAAATATAATAATTCATTCACCGTCAATACACAAACTTAAAATGTTGTTAAAATTTACTTAAAATTACATAAAATTACAACATTTTTTAGAATTAGATGTTGATACATTTCACATTTGACGACATGTTTCGGTGTATTACACCATCATCAGGTCAATCAACTTAAAGACTGTTTTAAAAACTGTTGTACATCCTGCTCCGCGTATATTGATACGTTTGATTGTTTTGATTTTCTTCCTTTTAATGCTTGGATGTTTATATCTGTAAAATTAATTTTCGAATCATGATTTTTGGAATTGACATAGGAAATATATTACAAATTTAAAATTTAAAGGGTTATTACCGTAATATAACGTAATACAATTTAGAAGAATCATAATATAGTAGTAGAAGGTAGTAAACATACCGGGTTGTTAGTGATGCGTTGTACGTCCGATATTATGGGGCTGTAGATTGCAACTGAGCTATGTGTGTTGTGTGTGGCTATATATATTGAGTGAAAGTTGTTCAGGTGCGCGGAGCAGGATGTACAACAGTTTTTAAAACAGTTTTTAAGTTGATTGACCTGATGATGGTGTAATACACCGAAACATGTCGTCAAATGTGAAATGTATCAAGATCTAATTCTAAAAAATGTTGTAATTTTATGTAATTTTAAGTAAATTTTAACAACATTTTAAGTTTGTGTATGGACGGTGAATGAATTATTATATTGATTAAACACAAACATGACGCAGTTAAGATATAAGTCACATTCAGGTTTCATGACTAGGATCCATCCATTGACTCCGCTGTGGAGTCTTTCGTGAGCAGTCTTTAAGCTGTTTTCCATCACAATCCTGTTAATTGTCTACACGTCACTCACCACCTGTTCATTGGTGGTGTGATCAGTGCTGTGATGCTGTTCATGCTCAGAAAACAGGGCTTTCATACATTCATACATACCATCTCACACACAGGAATCTGAATCACTCATATTCTCGTATGTGAAGGCTGAGCATTTTATATGTGAAGCTAAATTATGTTCT